AAAGTGGTTGTGTAGTACGAGAAAAGGCCTCTGCCAATTCAGTTTCCCTGACTTTCCAATCTTTCTTTTGCTCGTTTGTGTTTGGTCAGGCTCAGTTGATCCACGACAGAAACACTGCATCCCACTCAACGGGGATGGTTAAATCTCTCACAGCTGTCGCCACACCAGAAAAAGTACAGATGACATGGACAAAAGAAAAGTTTATATCTGAGAAGCATAAAAATAAGGAAACATGTATGGCAGGCTACAAGGACATCTTCAGTATGAAACCGTAAGTACATACATGTTCAATTCAGGTTGTTAGGTGTTTTATATTGGAAGTCTCAAACTCAGATAAACGTTAAGCATTGGCTTTAGTTAGTGTTGTCTGGCAGGTTTGTGCCATTGTTAAAGATGTAAGAATACACTAACCCGTTGGATTCTGGTGCTGTAGTTACCTTTAAATTGGGATCGCTGCAGAAAGCGTAAATTAATCTGTTTCCCTCCTCTCACACTTAGACTTCAAGGTTTCCTTTGTTTTGATACAATTAAGAAACCAACTTCCAGCTGATCTCTGGATTCCACATTCTCGACTACACACATCTGTGTTTAAATATGTACTCTCTCTGTGTGTATGTGTTGTTCTCTTATGAAATAAGTGTGGTCCATAAGGTTGTCTCCTGAGCCTCTGTGGCAGAACAGGCCCGCTCTGGCCTGTGGGCACTATCCCGTCCTACCCTCCTAGGTATTTCTTCCACTCTTGGGTAGGGTCACCACCACCTGACCTTTGTACAGAATTGCCCACTGGGAGGGTCTGGAGGACTCCCAGCTTCCATTCCACATTCTGAGGCCTGGCCTCTGTGTCTCCTGCTGCCCAGCGCCTGGTCACCACGGCTTTGTGGCTTTGTGCACCCCTAAAGGGCTGTTCCAACTGCCTACCTTCCCCTTGGTGCTCTTTTTAGAATAGCATGTCTGAGACAGCAGAGGTCTATGTGGTACAGAGAACCGCTGCCAGCATCTTAAGTTATAGAGTATTTATTAAAAAGAAAATGTTCACAAGCATACTTTTAGCACAGCACCAGTTTGAGCAAGGGAACCAAAAGAAATTGGTAAAACGCAAATCTTCTGTCTCTCTCTGGGGGCCTGGAGGCTAGACCCTATGAGGAAAGACTGAGGGACCTGGGAATGTTCAGTTTGGAGAAGAGGCAGTTGAGGGGGTACATGATTGCTCTCTTGAAGTATCTGAAGGGCTGTCACTGAGAGGAGGGCAGGGAGCTGTTCCTCTTGGCAGCAGAGGAAAGGACTCACAATAATGGGTTTAAATTAAGGGCGGGAAAGTACTGGCTGGATATTAGGAAAAACTTTTTTACAGTAAGAGTTGTTCAAGAGTGGAATCAGCTGCCTCGGGAGGTGGTGAGCTCCCCCTCATTGGCAGTCTTTACGCAGCCGCTGGACAAAGACTTGTCAGGGGTACTGTAGACTGTTTCTGCATTGGGCAGGGGGTTGGACTAGATGGCCTGTATGGCCCCTTCCAGCTCTGTGATTCAGTGATTCTCTCTATACGTGTCCTATCAGATGTTAAAATAGGACAGGCTCCTTATGTTTAGGAAGTTACAAATCTCTCCAGAGCACCTATTACCTTGAAGCTTGCTCTAGCTCTCTAGGCGAGCCCATGGTCAATGGCTGCCTTCCCCACGGAGAGAGGTCCTTTCATGGACTGAGCACCCAAGGAAAAGGGACCTTCTTCCTGCAGCAAGAAGTTTTTATCACCTCTCCTTTTCTCCTCTCGCTGACCTGGTCAGGCCAAGTCAAGGAAGCTCTTCCTGATGTCTCCAGAAATTTTCTTCTTGAAGCCTCTCTAGCATTTAATAACACCTCCAAATCTCTGTTCCCTGCTTGAAAGGGGAGGGGGGGACTTGCCCATCCCATTGTCTCTCCTGCTAGAGCTATTAGCATATGTAAGCTGGAAAGCAATTGGACCGACTTCCCTCTTCTTGCCTGTTCTCTGCCCAGAGAGAGAGAGAGAGAGAGAGAGAGAGAGAGAGAGAGACCTTTTTAAACCTTCTGGTGAAGGTTTTGCTCATGTCAAGCCTCCAAGGAAAAAACACACATCTTCACAGCCTCTGATGTAAATAATAAGAGGAAAATATTGGAAGCTCTTTGAGAACAATGGTGTATTGATGGTGGTGGCGGTGGCGGTGGCATTAATGTTCTGCCTTCCATGTATAGCACAGCTTGCAGAGTAACATAAGCAGGAAACAAAGTTTGAGTCCAGTGGCACCTTTAAGACCGACAAAGTTTAATTCTGGGTGTAAGCTTTCATGTGCCTGCATACGGCTAATCTTTGTTGGCCTTAAAGGTGCCACTGGGCTCAAACTTTATTCTGTTGGTTCATACCAACATGGCTGCCCACCTGAATCGAAGCAGTAAGAAGAGATCCCTACCTCAAGGAGCTTAGAATCCAGCTGTGCATTCCTG